TGCCACCTCTTCGCTGATCATGTTCTCCTGATACTTTGCCGATTTTAACGATTTGAAATTTTCGGAATTCCAATTCTTGGAAATTGTGAAAAATTCTTGGAAATTTAGATAGTGCCACCTCTTTGCAGATTATGTTCTCCTGATACTTTGCCAATTTTCGAGATTCTCGATTTTCGCGATTTAAAGTTTGAAATTCTCGGAATTCCAATTCTTGGAAAGTCAGATAGTGCCACCTCTTTGTTGATTACGTTCTCCTAATGCTTTGTCGATTTTTCGAGACATTTGAGAGAAATTAATATTCTGGATGCTGTACTAGAGAACAGATATAGCAGCTACGGAAAATGAAATCGAGGTCGACGCAAGTTTACAGGAGAATGCCGACGATAATAGTTATTTCTTCATGCATTTTTAACGCTTTCTACTCTAATTGAATTGAATTAATTTTTATTCGCTTATTTATTCCGGCAGATATATCATCTAGATGGCACTTACCTCACGTCAGGGTGCGCGTCCAGCATGGCACGCATTAGGGTTGTACCTGATCGTGGTACGCCACCGATGAAAATGAGCGGCATATAACGGTCGTATGTGTACGTCTTGCGATCAAACGGCCCGATCACGTATTTCTGTTTGGTAAATCATAACAATCAAGGACTGTGTGAAAAATATTCATAGCATTTTTCACGCTTTGGTGAACTTTTAACGTCAAATATCTCGGTAACGGCATATATGTCTGGTCAAAATTCTGTTTACGCGACTTAAAATTCAACGAAGAATCAGAATCTGTTTAATCAACTGAAATGAATTCACGAAAAACACCTTGAACCTTCTATCATTTGTAATTAAAAAACGAATGTCCAGTATCTCGTACGAAAAAGAGTCTTACGTCTACTTACAATCAGTTTTGCAATGCGTACTGTTATCTCTTTTGTGACAACTGATACAAAAGGGCTGTACTTAAAAATACCTTTTACCGAGTTACGCTCATAAGTAAGTGGGATATAAACTCTTACTCGTCGTTCGTTCAGGTATTTTACCGTAACTACCTTAACGCAATTAAAGTAAGTCTACAAGAAAATTAATAAAAGCGCCTGCAAGTCGACGGCGGATGGCGGAAGTAGATCGGGAAAGGCGCGGAGCTGCCTCGGAAGTTAGACTCGTCGTAGGTGTATCGACTTTGTCGGTAGCAGCAAGTTCGTCGAACTATTCTTCAAGAACGTCGGACATCCCTTTCTCTACGCCCGGTAGCGTATAGTTTGGCGTTGATTAAGGCCAGGATGAAGCTTCAGGAGTTGCAGCTGCCCGCCCGTTAATACGTGGCCTGACAGTTTAAGTTCGTAGATGTACTTCTTTTTCTCCTGATCCGGCAGCAACGAAGTGCGACAAGATACAAAACGCGAGAAATGAGATCATTGCTCATTTCTTCCTATATACGTGTTCCCAGTAGTGTCAGCCATTCGTTCGGTAATTTATCATTTAACATTTTAACGTCAGATATTTTTTTAAGAAGAGAAACATGCACTTTAATTAAATTTGAAAATGTTTCAGACGATCCTCTTGAACTCCACTTTATCTTAATGACTTGATCTTTATCAGAGATATGACTTTTTAAAAATGTGCTGGGAAATTTATATTGTAAGTCACACTGGACGTCAGAGAGATAATCTCCGCGTCGCGTCGAAAAAGTGGAGCGATACTCCGAGACAGTCGAAAATCAACAGCAAAGTTTCTAGTTAAGAAATTCTTGGAGAAAACTAACGACGAAAATGATGAGAACGCTCGAAAGACGAGCGTTTATTGAGCTGGGAAAAGTTTCTGACCGATATCTCAACTGCTATTTCAATAGAAGAATTGTACTTTTAACGGCGGAGAAATATCGCCGGAATAAATGTATAAGGCGCGCAGCACAGAGGAGATTCTACGCCGAGGAGAGAAGAGATAGCATTTAATTTAATCGCAAAGTATATTCGAATTGAAATGAGTTTCATCAACGAGCCCCGTTTGTCGGGCCACGTATCGTTCGATGGGTAAACTCACTCGGATTCGACGTTTGCGCGAAACGGAGCTTTTAACAACTGGGAGCAATTAATACTTTGACAGCCATTAATTGTCGATTAATAATGTAGGGACACTGCCGCGCCAGCCGCGATAATACACCACGCTCATATTATATTATCGCTATTATTATTCCGATTAATTATTATGTTATTGTTATTAGCGCCGGGACGGGGAAAGGAGGGCCAAGGGAGCGAAAATGAAGTGAGGCTGTTGTAAAGTGGACAATTAAAATTTCCCGCTTAAATAGAGAAGATCATTTCTGACGGCAGTACACGAAGGCGCATTTTCAATTGTTTAACGTTTTCCCAAATTCCGTTTCATTTAATCGCGAAGATACTTGTTCACTTGTTATCTCGCCGAGTAGTCGGAAAAGCCGCGCGATTTCTGTTTCGCACGGAGAATTACAGATTGATCGAAATGCCCGTTTGCGTTCTTACCTCCTTGCTGACCATCACAGCCGTGGGCATGTACCTGGTGGAGCCGCAAATAATGCCCAGCTGGTAAAGAGCGAAGATGAGGAGGAGGCCCACCAGGCAGGCGATGGGCCCCTTTCGGCCGCTGCGGCTCGACAGCAACATTATCGCCCGTCGCGCTGAAACCGCCTCTCACCAGGTGCTCCGCGAACAGTCTACTACCTCATTGTATCTGCAATATGAATAAAATCTCCCTTAAAATTTCTCCTTTTCATTCTTTTTCTCAGAGCACGGACTTTTCATAAATATTAAGTATCGGAGGTTGCGAGTTCCGCGGAGGGCAGAATTAAAATTTTCATTCCCGCTAGTTCTCGATAATCTCGGCGAAAGCACAAATCTAATTCCCCGCTCGGACCGTAATGAGTTAATCTCTGATCGTCTATCAACTTTTTTACAGGCACTCTTCACGCGAGACTTACGAAGCGGGGCGATCTTTATTGAACGTAAAGTTACGCATTTATTTTCTTGCGTCATTAATTTCAACATATTACTGGGACCCGAAGGTAATTAGTCTGAACTGGAACTGGAAAATGATTAATCGAAAAATTCACACACTGTCGAGCAATGATTCTGATCGTCAATCTGGTACGCGGAACAGAGCGCGAAAAATTGACCGTTCACTTTGTTGAAATCGAGGATCGTTCGCTCCGGACCAAATCGAGACACGGCGACAAGTGAAATAACGCGAAGAAATCCTGGGGGTGATTTTCGAAATTCACTGATCGCTTCGATATCTCACATATCGGCGTGAAATATGTACGGCGCGCGGCCCGTCTTACCGCGGCTTTTCTCCTCGCGCTTCTCTTTCTCTTGGACCACTTTTCCAGCTTCCATGAATCTTGCCCGATTCTTCCGGACATGTGCCATCGATATTGTTTTCGCGCTCGGTACCTTAAGCCCCGTATTTGTCTAGCACGTCGAATTGTCGTAAAATTGATATCCGTGCAGCATCGGGACGCGAGCGAGCGAGAGCGAGAGAGAGAAATATATCAGCAATAGAGTAGATGTTTACGATAACGTCTGGCTGCTGGCACTCACAGAATATCGGTCGCTTTCCGTTCGCAGTATCTGAATGATATATCCCCAAAATACGCGTCCAACGGTAGGATTATATGCTAATGGATGAATAGAAAGAACCCAGGCATTAGACGATCGATTCGTAATGAATTCCAGGTTCGAAAAGGGGCGACATTGGGGAGCGTCGAAAACGAGATAGCGAATGGATGAGGTAGTCTGTAAAGATTGACAACTGTATCAGGGATCATTAGCGACTCGCGATAAGTCTGTTTCCTGAGGGATCGGGAAGATAATTGCAACCTCCAAAGCACGACTCTTACTACAATATTCTTATTCCGACAAAAAAAAAGTGAGAAAAAAATGGTGACTTTCTTTTCTCAACAATTTCATGGAAATAACCGCGGTTGTTCCGTAACCGGGCCGTGCGGTATAATTTGGACAACGGTGTTTTTAAACGGAGCTGAATTAAAGTACGCGCCGTATTGATTTACAGAGAGACCCGCAATTTACCTGTTTCGTCAGGAAAGTCCCGAGACCAGGTCAGGTTTCCTTCGTTTTTCGTCCCTTTTTATTTTTGAAATCACGATGGGCCTGTAATCGTATGCCGTTCGTCCTTGATGTGCAAGTTTAATGAAAGTTCGACGTGCTTTAGAGAGTAATCCGACTATTTTAACCGATACCCCATTATAACCGACGTCGTTGCTTGACTGACGGGCTAACGAGAACGAATCGATCGCAGTACAAAGGGCGGGCCTCATTTGAGTTTCTAGGAAAGTTATTGATTCGACCTAAATCGTTCGATTCCAATCCGCAGCAATCCTTCGTTAATATTGCGCAACATGCGGCAACGAAATTAGAATTACTCTGGCGGTATAAATTCCAGAATACACGTTCACTATAAAAATTATTAATATGTAATTTAAAAATGCGCGATACGTGGAAAAATGCATTTCAAAATATTTAATAATTTCCTTGCTAAAAATCGAGAACGGAGACTCTACATAAAGTCACGATAGGAATGGAGTGCGTAAATTCATATCACCTAATTAATTGAAAGATAATTAACAAGCATGTCAAAAGTAACGGAAAAAAGCTATGCGATCAACTACATTTAATAATAAACGATATAGTTATGCACAGTAATGTCGAAGCTTGCTAAAAATTACGGTGACAAAATTGCTGCAAAATCCCATCTCGATTTAAAAAAAAGGCATCGGACAGAATTTATTATTTCGCTGTGTATTTCGGAGTTTCGATTTCGCGAAACAGTAACTTGTTATTTGACATGCAATAGCGGGGAAAAATGGCGATTTTTGTTTTGCAACGCGACTGCGATTCGACCGAAAGTTACGATGTCCATCAAATATTTGGCTTCCACCTTTCGCGTGTATAATCGCGAACGGCCCGTTTCTCCATCAAGCTCATCCACCGCGCCGAACGCTCGCTCGCTCGCAATTTAAACTTTAATCGCGAAAGCTGTGGAACAATAGCGGCCACGATACAGGGATGCGGACAAAAGATACGCATTATAGACTGGTTCTAGTAAAAAAAAAAAGTAGAAAATCTCTATTCATTCGAAACTGCAGCAACTACAATATCAATTAAACGCTCGACATGCAACATCCTAGGCAGCGCGTGGAAGGGAAAGGTAGAGGGGTAGAGGGAAAGAAAAGGTCAATTGGAAATTGGATAAGGATTCTCGTAATGTCCGGTTGCACGTGATAATTAATACGATCTTTTAAAATTGGATTCATACTAGAGTTCATCCGCGATTTATTACGCGACAGCGCAATACATATTCATCGACGCGTGATGCATGTAATAATAATTGTAATTATAATGACAATAATAACAACAACAACGAGAATAATAATAATAATAATAGCAACGACAATAATAAGGGATTCCGCAAATTCATTGCCCGTGCGTCAATCTAGCTATGCCGGGCTCTCGTTGTATTTGCAACGTTTATTCCAAATTCAACCGAGAGCTTTTACATCACATCGCCAAATACCCATGGGCTATTTTGTGTTTTACTCGCGTCCTTTAAATATTTCATGTCAATTACTCGATTTCCCGGCTATTCGTTGGAAAACGAGAAAGCAATTCACATAACGGAATGCGCTCGGTAAACGACCGCGTTTTTAATGAGATTTAATTCTCGATTCGAGGAAGATTCGCTCCACTTTATTCGTATTGTTCATTATCACATAGATGAGACTTCACTTAGCCGAGTCGCTGTAGTTTATCGAGATTCCCCTTTGTTCCCCGCTAACGCTATCGAAAGTCGATCGTGGCGGCACGAATTCTGGCGGAAACTTCGTAACTGCACTTCTGTCGGGAACAGAAAGCAGCGGTCAAGCTTACTTAGCTCGACAGTGGCCATTCTTTCCCACTTTTTTATCCTCGCGACAAAAATTCCTTTATTACGCTGCTTCTGAAAAGCGTCAACCTGTTAAAGCGGCATTACGTCGACAGCGCCGGCGAAAAAACGGAAACCTGCGGCCTTTTTGCACCGGGCACTTCAGCACGTTACGCATATGGTAAAATATTAAAGATTCACATAGAGAATATTACGAGAATGCCAGAATAAAAGTAATTCGAACTGGCGGCGAGGAAAAATCGACCTCAACTTCACTCAAATTTTATTTTGCCGCAGGCACTGCGTGATTTCGCTTACTAACGTGTATATTAGAATTCTAAAGTCATATAATATTAAATAACGTAAGGAATCATTTAACGCCAGTAATTGATTGAACAATGTAGAAAAGTTACATGACGGCCAACGGCTGGCGAACTCCAATTAAAGAAATTCATTGCGAAAAATATTACCTCAGCCAAGGTTTCAACCTGGACCCTCCCTACACTCTAGGCGGGCGCGTCTCACCAATTCGACCACTCTAGCAGAAAAATAAACGCGAAGATGTCATCAGTATAGTACTGTTTATCGCGACTAATATTACCATACCTCAGTGGTCGAATTGGTGAGACGCCCCCCTTCTTTGCGTTTTCGCTTCTGCTCTAACACTTTCTTTTTTATAAAACGCCCTTTGTATCGCAACTGATTTTCCATTATGATAATTAAAATATCTTTTCACAATTTATCGCATTCACGATGAAAAGTGATGTTGCCACGATGAACGCTCTGCTAACACTACGGAATTCAGAATACTGTTTCATTTTCTGTAACTCTTTTTTATTTCATCGGTTTTTAATATTCTCAGAGAAGCGATAGTGTTAACAAATCTGTTCTTGAATTTAGTATAAAAGAATTCGTTGTCTATTGAACTTTATTGGTCAAGTCTCATTTTGACTAGCATAGTTGGGAAAGAACTACTTTATTTAATTCGTATAATATTCTTCTTCTGGTTTCAAGCTCTAGATTCACTCTACAATATTGACACGTAACAATCGATTGTAATAAAATTATTAGCACAAATTATCAACAAGATCATTGTCGTACTTTATTATAACTCGTACATTTATATGTTAATCGTAGCAGTGCAATATCCATTGGACTTTGGAAGTCGAAAAGTCTTTTATTATTAAAGCTTTAATTAAGGGCGAAAGTTGCGGCTTAGAAACGTACCGAACGACGATAAATCGCTCGGTTTACATAGCGAAACGTATTCTCTGATTCGCCAATTTTTAACGGAGAAACTGCCTGGATCAGCGGTCGGAAACCGAGCACCGGAAACCGTGAATCCGGAAGTGCAAATGCAACATTGGTTCGCGCGTGAGCTTGCACGCTAATTGAAAGCCCGCGTTCGTACTCGCGCTCGCGCGCGACCTAAACCGCAACGAGTTAAAAGTTAAACAAATGTCGAATTTAATTTGACTGTACACCGGAGTTGATGTGTACAGGATGTCGTAAAATTGACGGAAGGCAGGCGTGTTTCCTATAAACTCTACAATTGAATTTTGCCCGCGACAATAATAGGTAATCGTCGACGTTTTACCGGAAAAAAACATTTTTTAATTCCTTCTTCTTTGTACGATTTCTTTGTAATTTCAAGTAACCTTTTAACGCTTAACGAAATTTACAATATCGTCCGGAGTGACAAAAGAACGAAGTCAAAAAGAAGTAAAGGAATTAACGAAGAAATGATTTCTTAAATTTTTTCGTGCCTTCTCCGACAGTTCTCGATGTACGTA